GCGTAATTTTCACACATTTTGGCCGACCTTTCAAAATGTAACATGGACTCTCGTTTCAACCTGGAGCCGCTTTGCGAAAAAAACCGCGAGAATGACTACTTCTGGTTTATCTGTTACCATTAACTCTAAACTAACCAGAATGCTTGTAGGTTTGCCTGGCTATGAGCGCGAACCCTCCAGAAAATCAGAATGTATTATTGTTATTATTCCTGACATTGATGATGATCATCGAGTCGGGAAAATCGTAGATAGGTCAACATCAGTCTAACCAGAGGCCCACATTCTGCCAGCTGTTATCGAAAGTAGCCGTACTCATTCTAGAGTAACCTGCACCGATCTGCATTTATTTCGGGCCGTAATATCGACTTATTGTAATTATTAGAGGTTTTTGGTAAATTTGAAAAATTCGTTTGACCCTCTTTAAAAAAGTCTGCGGCCCCAGCCTTAAGTACGGCCAACACTCCAGCCAACTAAGCTATGAGTCTCGATCGGGGGCCGCCAGGTTTTTCACAAGGGGTCAAATGAAATATTCAAATCAGCGAAAACCCTCCACTTATTGATTGCGCCTGGAAGCCGTTTGATGGTCTCTAGCTTGATTGCTCAGGAAATCCTGCTTGGGTAAGTCAACTTTCTATATCAACATTTGTGGATTCCATATGTTGCAGTAGACCGGGTGAGTAAATTGACTCAAATATGATTTAACTCGGCGCTCCTGATGGGGGCATCGTAGTTCAGTTGCCTACAGCATTTGCTTTAATAAAACCCTCTCGATAGCGTGAATTCGAATCCCACCGAGGCCGCCGGGTTTTTCACAAGTGAACCAAATGAATTCTTGTAATTATATTGGAGCTGCTCTCGAGAGCTTTTTCAGGCTGTCACGTCGCATTACGATGCGCCGAGAATAGTCGCTGAGCATTACCGGCGCGAACCAAGGGAGTTGTTGTTTGTAGTTTCCTGTCGTTCTTCCTCTGGTCTAAAATCAAACGGAATACCCCGAAATCAGGCCGCATTTTTGCACTTCTGCACTTAGTCCTCCCGGTTGCCCCGCGATTTCCACCGTCCCTTCCACGTGCAATCACCTCGTTCAAAAGCAAACCTCAACGGTATCATCTAGTCATTATGATGTCCTATCCACCCGAGGAAGCAGTACTTTCACAGACACTCACATCCACAGTAAAGTAATTGGACGACTGCAGAGCGTTGCGTATCTTTGGCAGTTTAAGTGTTAGTATTGCCCGGACAGCTGACGAAGTGTACACACAGCCGTCAGGGCACCCGCAGATGTTTTAGGAAGTGGTGAGTCTTTAAAATTGCTTATTTTATTTTATTTTCAGACCGCCCGTGTCCGGATGGGTGATAAAGCTGGTTAGCCGCCTGACTCAGTTCGTCGCCGCCGCCTAGGCTGCTTCAACCCTTGATCGTTCCGTCAGCTGGATCATCGTTCAGCCGCCACCTCCAGCTCTTTTACTACTGTGTTGTCTGACGTCTCTCTTTGATTACTGACAGTCCTCCTTTTGTTTCTTTCCCGCCCTGTTCTCTCTATATCTCTATGACCAACTCATTTTGTCTGTGTTTGTGTGCTTATTTCTGTCTGCGATTATTCCACCGACCTGGTTTGTGACAGTTTCCCCCACCCCTTCCCTTACCACTTCAGCATAATATGCAGCCATGCAGACTGTCCCTCTCACCCCCCGCCTGCCCTCCTGTGCGCATACTGTGCGTTCTCATCAAATTTATCATGCAGGTCAGCAGCTGTCTTGTTCGTGTGTGCGTGTGTCGTAGCCCATTGTTGGATCAGAAGTCCCCGCCGGAATCCAAACTGGTAGTAGTTGGAAGAGGGAGGAAAGCCGAGACCTCGACCGGCTTGAGCCAAAGGTCCGTGGGGGTGAGATGGGTGTCTGGCCGGGAACTACAGGTGAACATATATTGAGAGTTATGCGGAGAAGCGCCGCAATTGGGTGTGGACGGGTCGAGCTGGTGTTGGTACTGCCGAAGGACCATCGAGTAGCCACTACCTAGTTGAGCCAGAATACAGCAAGTGACCGTCGGGAGATTTTGTTCTAAGGCCGCAATCGGAGGTGGATAGCCGCCCAAAAGGACCGGGGGATGATAAGCTCATTTTTCCTCGACAACGGCTCTCTGGTGGATCGGTCTTGTTCGTATCTCTCTGTGTGGTGTGATCGCACTCATCGGCCAGGCCCGACCACACGGGCCTTC